ATGAGCAGAAGTGTCCCAGGGGACTCCTGCCCCCCAGCACCCCAGGAACAGGATTGTTAAGCACACATGAGGGTTGCTGTGGTGAGACCACCTGACTAGGACATTCGGCAGGTCGGTGGCTCCATCCTGTGCTGTTGTCCTTCCTCTGACCAGAGTCCCTGAGGACTAGCAAACATGTGAAGTGACTGAGGAATTCCCAGCATGTTTATGGTTAAACGTCTGTCCAGGGAACATTGCTGTGAAGGGCAGGCCGTGCGGCTGCACACTGGGTGTAGGGCTTCCCTCCCCAGCCTTCCAGCCACCCTGGGTGGCCCGCCCTGTCCCAGCCTCACTGCTCACCTTCCTGGAAGGTGTCCTGGGCCCCTACAGACAGGATGCCCAGGGTTGGAAGTTTCCTCACCCCTGCCTTATTTCTGAGAGGCATGGTCTGTTTATTGTAGTGTTTCAGGTTCTTGTGCTTATCATTGTTACAGCTCTCCAGAAAAGTAACCCCTCAGGTCTGGGCAGGCGCTCATGAAGGAACAGGGTAGACACTCAGTGCAGGTCTGCGAGTTCATATATGTTGGTGACACATTTTTCCAGTTAGAGCTCAAATTGTACAGGAGCATGAGAATCTGTACTGAGATTGCAGGTCACAAATGTGGCTCTTCTGCTTTCTTCCCAAGGTTGAGTAGGGGCATTGGGCTTACCCGCAGTGGGTCTCAGGCACAGGCACTTGGCTCGCCATGGCTGAAGGCAGGGGTCATCAGGTCCTGTCAGTTTGTCCCTCCAGAGGATCTGTGTGGGAGCTGGAGGGAGGGCAGAAGCCAGTTCAGCCAGGGTCCCTGCTGTCTGTGAGCTCACCACCTAGCAGCAAAGATGGGGGCATAAAGAAACAGCTGTGCTCCAGGTGACAGGTCCCAAGAGTATGTTTACGAGGGCATCGCAGGAAGGGGAGGGCTCCGTGGGCCTGAGCGGGCAAGGAGAAGCTTCCAGAGGAAGGCAACGGCCAGGAGCGGCTGGTCCCTGAGACGGGGTGCGGGCTTGGACCTGCCCTTCCTGATGGCGGCCCGCTGCTGTCCTCAGGGACTTCAGAGGTGCCGCTCTACAGAGAGGTCAGGTGGCCCTCGGACGGCCAGCTCTCTGCCTTCCCTTCAGGTACCGATTCTTCTGGGAGTGCGCAGGTGGGCTGGGCAACCCGGCCTCTGCCTCCTCCTGAGCGGGGCGCGGCCGGGCCGCCAGCCAGCACTCTGCTTCCTTCTTGCCAGCAGCCGGAATTCTGTGGACAACAGAATCCTTAGCCAAGTTTTAATAGTTTCCTCTTGCTTTGTAACAAGTCGCCACAGCATGGCTGCTCGGCTGGTATGCTAGTTATCTCAGTGTTCACATGCGCCAGCAGTCCAGACATGGGTGTTGGGGTCCTCCCCCAGAATTCAGCCCCTTGGGGGCCGGGCCAGAGCCCCGCTCTCTGGCAGTGTGTGAGGCGGCTGCAGCCGTGCTCAGCAGTCCCCAGTAGCTGTTTGCTTTCTTCCACACCAGAGGAGCATGTCTCTCGGCAACCAGCCCGTCGAAATGGCTCCAGAGGGCCTGCCTGCCTGGGTTGAGCTCACTGGGGTACTTTCCCTTTGCTGAGTAGCAGCAGGGCCTCGGAAGGACCACTCTCTGATCTGCTCACATCCCTGTGAACTTGAATGCTGTTTAGTGGAGGTGGGGAGGGAGAGAAACAGGGCATGCGTGGACCCTACTTGTTGGGCTGAAAGCGCCCCCTTTCCTTTCCTTCTGGTCACAGCCCAGCCTCAAACCTCTCAGGAATGGATGTGGCCCGAGCGCCCGGCTTGGGTGCTCTCTGCATCCCAGAAGAGGAGAAGTGCCCTGTGAGGGAGGGCCCCTCTGGAAGCGGGTGGCCTGGTACCTCCGGGTTTTGAGACGCGTAGGGACATCAACAGTGTGGCGGCCGGCACTGTGCAGGCTTCAGCCCTAGTTCTGGCATCTGCTGGGGGCCTGGGACGTGGGGGAGTGGGAGTGGACACCACCTGGCAGCAGGGCCCGGCGAGGCTCCCGGTGATGGTGGCAGCTGGCGCAGCCGCAGGAAAGCAGTGTGTTCCTCAGCGTGGGGCACGCCCGCTTACTGCCCCAGGTCACAGAGTTGGTGTCTCTTCCTCCTCAAGGTTCAGAAGATTCTGAAGGAGGAGGAGGAGATGGGGACACAGTGGCAGCAGAGGACGCTCAGGGGGAGCTGGAAGCCAATGGCACGTTTCATTCTGATGATGATTCTGAGAGCTGCCCAATTTGTCTCAATGCCTTCCGGGGTCAGGCCGTGGGGACACCGGAGGATTGTGCCCATTACTTCTGCCTGGACTGCATCGTGGAGTGGTCCAAGGTGAGGTGGCTTCTCTCTGGGCGCTCCCTCCCCCCGGGGAGCTCCTTTGTGTGCAAGGGGCCCAGCCTGTGGCCAGCACCTTGCTGGCTCTGCTGTGCCGCAGCAGTTGGAACCACAGGGTGGGTCCTGGCTTGGTCTTTGCTTCATTCTTTGCCGTCGGGTCTCAGGGTTGTTGGTGAAACTCCTGTGGGTTGATGTGCTCTTGGAGTGCCCTGGGGGACATCACTGCGACAGTCCTGAGTGACCTTGGGGCAATCCACAACCAGCAGAGTCAGCTGGGGGCATGTGTACTGGGGCCTGCTCAACAGGGTCATTCATCTCCTAGGTAAAGAAAGCATGACCTTCAACCCGGCAGTACTTCGTCATGGCAGTGAGAGTGGCCATCCTTAGAACACATGGGGGTGCTTGCCAGAGACATGCAGCAGCTCCAAAGCGAGCTTTAGAAGCAGGGCCCCTTTCCTCCTTTTTAAGGCCGTCATTGTGGGAATTTCAGACTGGTAGATAGCACAGGGGAGGGCCATGTGGCCCTGGGGTCTGTCACCATCTACAGGGTATTGCTCTGCCTCTCTGTTCCCTTTCCTGCTCGCCCAAATGAACCTTCAGAATGGGGACACTGTGAAGGTGACAGATGCCCACACTGCCCCCTTACCCAGCGAGACCAGTAGTAACAGCACAGCCTCTAACACCCAGCTCTGCTAGGGACTGTCTTCCCAAAGAGCTCGGAAGTGTCCATGTATGGTAGTGTGTTTGCACCAGGACCCAGGTGGTAGTCACACTGTCCACACTGCCGTGGGTCTGTGGTGTCATTGGAGGCATTTCTCTGCCTCTGACACTCGTGTGGTGGCGGGTCTGTAGCCCAGGTTTGATGCCATTAAAGGAGGAGCATGATGGTATTTACTGCCTGTCTTCCAATGTCATGTTGGGTTGCTAGAAGGAGAAAACACAGCATGCGCACCAGGCAGCAAAGGGCTGTTGCCAACAGTATGTTTATTGCTGTCACTATTTTACAAGTTAACTGTAGTTTTCAAGGTTTGACAAGATGGCTAGACACAAGCTTAGCAAAGGTTAAAAAAGTCCAGCATCCTTAGAAACAAATCATGAAGATGTGTGAGATGGCAGAGGTGCCTCCCTGAGTGATGGAAGGCCACTTTCTGAACAAGTACCACCGCCCTGGAGAGGTGGCAACGTAGTGTGGGTTCCAGTGCATCCTGCCTGGGGTGTTCAGTACACCCGCTTGTGAAATTCACACAGCAAAGAAAGAATGTCAGGGGCAGCCAAGCTGACCTTGAGCAGGGAAGAAGCTACTCACTGGGCATTAAGACTCACAAAACTAGCGATTGCCCTCGGTCAGGCCCAGGGACAGATGCCAAGCCCAAAGTGGGCAAAGGGCCTGAAGTGGTGGTGGGCAGCGTGTCACGTTGAGGGCCGGCTCTCGAAGTGTGGGGGCAGATGGAGGGCCTGGCTCACACCACACCCAGTTGCCAGGGAAGCGGGACTGGAAGTTAAGGCAATACTCTGAAACCTTCCAGAAAAGCTCAGTTGACTGCCAAGGACAGGCACACAGACAAAGAGGAGGCTGATGGGGGCCTCTGCCATGGGAGCGGATACCACCATTCAGCACTGGAAGGAAGGCTCAGACATGGGGCAGGCGTGGGGCCCCCACTGCCCAGGTTGGTGGGCGCCATGTCCAGCCTCAAAGTTGGTTCCTGTTCCCTGTGAGCCAGCAAGAGAAGTGAGAGTCCATGCCACAGACCCTGCAATGTGTAGTCCCTCCCTAGACCACCCAAACTGGACATGGCAGTGGCCTATGGGCCTGCATGGTGGAAAGCATACTTCACAGCAGGGCCTGTGCCATGTGGGACACAGCGTGGCAGTGCTGCAGGGCTGTGAACTGTCAAAACTCACCAAAGGACGCTAAAATGACCACGTTTACAATGTGCCTGATGAAGGTGGTTTGAAACAGTGTGTATGTGTCAATGTGCTGTTACTAGAGGCAAGAGGAAAATGGTGGAGCTTCATCTGGTGAGTGTCCCGCTGCATAAAGAAGCCTCAGAGCTTACGAGGAAGCATTAGGCAGCCTCGCGGAGAAGCAGGAAGGGTGAGAACCCAGCCTACAGTGAGGCGCTGAGCCACAATGTGCCTCAAGGGCCTGCTTTTCTGCCCTCCTTCCCCAGTAGGAGGACAGTGTGGCCCACGCTTGGCACACAAGCCGTTGGTAGTGCGTGACTCGGTAAAAGGGATTTGTGACTTCGGCAGTATTAGTCATGAACTCTGTTCTGTGGTTCTGATAACATTTTTCTTTCTTACAGAATGCCAATTCCTGTCCTGTTGATCGAACTGTATTCAAGTTTATTTGTATTCGAGCTCAGTTTGGTGGTAAAGTCTTGAAGAAGGTGAGTGCGGGTACTGTGGTAGAGAGGCAGCCCACCCTTGTCTTCACTACATTGGTCCCTGGCTCAGGAACTTGCTCTGGGAAGTCGGTTTGCCTTCTAGAAGCCCACCGAGATGCTGTGGGCGGCCGTGAACATGAAGCTGTGGCTGGAGGCGCAGCTCTGACCACCTGGCTCGTGGGCTGTCTGGGGAGCAGTTGGGGGAATCTAGTGGCACACCTGTCGCCTCTCTGACCTCTTCACTCCCACACACCCTTCCCCAGCCTCCAGCTTCCCCTGTTGAGTCAGGGCAGCGGGGAGAGGAAGGTCAGGGTGGAGCCTGTCCTCTAGGGATGGATTTCTGGATACACTGCTGTGAGGGCTGAGAACAAGAAGGAAATATTTTCCCTTGATTCCTTTGCTGATCTTAGGGACCCCACCCCGCTTTTGGGGGACAGTGTCACAGAGACTTAGAGGTGGCCTTGGGTCTTCTGAGTCCTGGAAGAGGCCGCCACCCCTCGGAGCTTCAGCCCTGCTCTTGCCCTTACCTGACTGCCTGGGCAGCAGACCCGCTGCAGCACAGCCCCGAGACAGCTGCGGTCCTGCTCTTCTGGGCCTCTTGGCAGCCTGAGGCCTCTGCAGTTGTGGGCCGCTTGCATGCAGGCCATCCTGGGGTGTCCAGGGGGAAATCTGGACAAGGGAGGTGTCGGGCAGAGTCCCTGGGACACAGCCCACGTGACACAGTTGAGCTGGCCCAGGTTGGGAGAAAGACCTGGGAGGAGCCCTGGCATGGGGCAGAGAGCGAGGCTCAGGCGTGTCACCTGAGGGTGACAGGCAGCCTCTCATGTGCAGAGAGCGTTCCTGGGCTGGGTGTGTGGGAAGACTGGCTAATCAAGCCTCCTTCTGCCCCTGAGAACATCTCTGGCGGGGGCTTTCAGTGTGTAGCTGTGACTCGGGGAGCAGCACCTGCTTGAGGGTCATTTTTTGGCCGTCGTGTTTCCATGTTTTTGCCCGATTGTGTGGTGGTGGTGAAGAGAATGAAGGCCTGCTCCTTCAGTGCCGCTCCCCTGTCTCCGCGCTCCTGATGTCCCTGGAGTGCACACAGTGTGGATGGTCTCCTGCCATGGTGCTGTCTCCACCTCTTGCTCTGCTTTTGGGCCTTTCCATGGGTCTTGTTTTCTGTTGAGTCACTTTTTCCTCCAGGGTAACCACCCCGAAATAGTTGGAGAGCATAAAAGGCCCCATATGCATGACTCCACACCTCAGGACGTGGGTCTGAGTAAAGCTTTGGAGGCTGGTGGACCTCAGGATCAGCCACAGGTCCTGGCACGCTCACTCTGGTACTTGGGCTTTACCTGCCATGTGATGGGTGCTTGTCTGTATTCAGATTCCAGTGGAGAGCGCCAGAGCTGGAGAGGAGGAAGAGGACCCCACCTTCTGTGAGGTGTGCGGCAGGAGCAACAGGGAGGACCGCCTGCTCCTCTGTGACGGCTGTGACGCGGGGTGAGTGCACAGTGCTGCCTGCCCTGTCCTAGGGCTGGCCGAGGTGGCGTCTCCTGGCAGGCCCCAGGGAAGCCAGCCCAAGCTGGCATTAACCATAGGCGCCCTCACGGTTGGCAGGCCTCAGCTGCTATTGCTGTTTATACCCTGCACTCATTCCCCAGAAAAGGCTTCCAGAGGTGCTCGTAGCACATCAGGACAAAAAGGAAAAACAAGGACACGAGAACCCAGGGGTGTGGGGCTGGCCCACAGGCTGGGGCGCAGGGGCTGCGTGCAGGCCTGCCCTTTCTGTGAGTCCAGGACTCCGGAGGGAGGAGGGGCGGGCTCCTGGGACAACTTCATGCTGCTGTGTGTCTCCCTGGGGCAGGCTTCCTAGCCAGACTGCCATGACCCCCGTGCACAGCTGGCCCAGCTCCTGGGGGCTTGTGTTCTCATGGTGCAGTGTTTTGTCTTTTCCCTGGCTGTGGCCTGGCCATGTCCTCTGTAGGCCTCCTTGGGGGTCCTGACGTCTGGAGACTGTGATGGGAAGGCTATGGAAGCTTTCCCTGGAGCACATACCCCAGCCAGTGGGGAAGGAACCCAGTGAGGCTGGCAGACCTAGACCCTTCTCTCAGGCAAAAAGCATTGGTGTTGGGGGTTGGCCCTGGGGGACCAGCCATGCGGGCACTTCTGGGGCAGATGGCCAGGCTTCAGAAAGGCGTTCTCTCACAGGACAGAGGGCCAGGTTGGCAGCTTAGAGCTTCAGAGCTCTACTCGTGGGCGGGGCTGCCCTGGGCCCTGGAAGGACAACTGACCAGATGATGCTGCCCAGAGACCACATGTGGCAGGAGGTGCCTCTGTAGCCCAGCGCCCAGCCCCCCGCTGTCCTGTGCCTTCTGGTGGCCTGGGGGTGGCTGCAGATTGGCACTGTCATGCAGCAAATCTAGTTTTTCCTTAGGCTTTTAAATTAAGCCTCAATTCTTAATTCTGCTAATTCTGTATATCAAGATTTGTTCAATTCTAGTAACCTAATAGTGACTCTGGGGGCTGCTTACAACTTCATTAAATTTTTTTAATGTTGTAAAGCACCTAAACTTAATACACTGATTTTCTTTTTATGTGCTTGAATTATTTAACAGATAAAGCAATTCAAGTACATGAAAGTCCTGGTGGATCTAAAACATTAATTATTAAAATTTATTTAGTGATACTTCTAAACGTGTTCACATTGTTAGTATTTGCGATCTGCTAAATTTTCTTAGTTAAGTCTTTCAACTTAAAAATTCTCAGTTCTAAAGTTAGTCCCATTACTCTTTCTGGAGCAGAATCACAGGGCGATCTACAGATGCATGAATGTGCCAGATTATTTCACTATTACATGAAACAAGGTACCAGTTATTTCTGATTTCTTTTTAAGCTTAAAATCTAATTTAAAGGCATTTATTCATGCAGTGAACACCTCAGGCCCTCGCCTTGCTGGGCTGCTCCACTAGGGGATCGGTTCTTGGTGGGCTGAGGCTGCCTGGCAGAGCAGTGCTCCGAGCCAGAGGTGCAGGGTCTTTGAGCAGGCGGGCTGCAGGTCTGTGGGTAGGTCGACAGCCAGTCTGCTGTCTGGAGTGACGGGTGAACCGGCCAGCTGGGCTGGGCGCCCCGCCGGAGGGCCTGGAGCTGCTGAGGAGGGAGAGCCATGCTTTGTCCTTGCAGGGTTCCCTGGGCTCTGCAGGGGTGGCCTTCTCAGGGAGTCTGCCTGGGGCTCTGGGGTGCTCCTGGTACTGCCTAGGCTTGCTTCCCTTCCCCCTGCACCCCTCCCATGGTTCTCAGGTCAGATCCCTGCCAGGGTCCAGGGAGGAAGGCAGGGGGGATGGTCTTGTCGATCCTGTCTCTGGGCCCTCGCCGTTTCCATACTGCGGACAGTGCGTGGTGGTTACGCTGGATTGAACCCAGCCCTGGGTCCTCAGGCAGTTTTAACATGTGTCTGTGTTGGGTTTTGCGTGGCCTTTGGGCTGTCTGGTCTCGAGGTGAAGTTCAGGGAGTTCTGGCACAGATGGCCCATGCCAGCAGCGGCTTTTCCCAAACTGTTCCTTGAAGACTGGATAGAAGCTGCTGAAAAATAAACCATAGTTAGGCAACATTTCCATTTACTTGCAGCAAACAAAACTTTTCCCTTTTTTTTCTTTTTTTGAGGGGCATACACTAAAATACACAAATCTTTGTGCACAGCTTGATGAGTTTTAACCTATGTATGTACTCAGGTAGCCATCACCTTGATCAAGATGCCAAACATTCTCACTAATTTTTTTCCCCTCTTTACCTGTTTATCCTCCATGGTAACCACTAACCACAAGTCTCTTCTGTCTATGGGTCTATTTACAGTTTTGCTTATATGCTTTGTTTTTAAGATTACGCATATAAGTGAAATCATACGGTATTTGCTTTTTTCTGCCTGGCTTATTTCACTGAGCATAATAAATACCCTCTAGGTCCATCTGTGTTGTTGCAAATGGCAAGATTTCCTTTTTTATGACTGAATAATATTCCACTATATGTACCACATCTTCTCTATCCATTCACCTATTGATGGATTTGGTTGCTTCCAAATCTTGGCTATTGTAAATAATATGGCAGTAAACATAGGGGTGCATATGTCTTTTCAAATTGGGGATTTTGTTTTCTTCAGGTAAATTCCAAGGAGTGGAATCACTAGGTCAAAGGGTATTTCTATTTTTAGTTTTTTGAGGAACCTCTATACTGCTTTCCACAGTGACTGCAGCAGTTTACATTCCCACCAGGTTTCTCCACATCCTCACCAACGCCAGTTGTTTCTTGTCTTTTGGATGGTGGCCACTCTAACTGGTGTGAGGTGATACCTCATTGTGGTTTTAATTTGCATTTCCCTGATTAGCGACGTGGAGCATCTTTTCATGTGCCTGTTGACATCTGTATGTCTTCTTTGGAGAAATGTCTGCTCATGTCCTCTGCCCTTTTTTTAATTTTATTAATTTTATTAATTTTATTTTGGTATCATTAATCTACAATTACATGAGGAACATTATGTTTACTAGACTCCCCCCTTCACCAACTTCCATCCATGTTGTTGCAAATGGTAGGATCTGTTTTCTTCTTATGGCTGAATAATATT